ATTTTAAATTAATTAAAATCTGAAAATGTTCATACGACTCACTAACTGAATAGTTCTAATACCATGTTCTAGTTATTAATTATTATTGTTCCAAATATTGAACTCTATTAATTTAATTATTTTCATTATTTCGTACAAAAAAAGGCAAAATAGTAATGTTTTAGTAATTCACTTCATTTATTGTAATAGGATTTTTTTTCCTGGATTAGTTTTGGCACATAAAATTTTTCGCTGGCAATTAGTAATAAACTGTCTGTTCTTAAATAGTGTTATTGCTGTACGAACGTCTTTTTTTGTGCCATTTTTTTCCTCCTGCTTTTTCTTCGGCATTCTAATAAATTTATGATGGTTTATGAATTCATGATTTATGACTTCATAATGCAAGAAAAATGATTAAAGGTATGTTATACAATTTTAGGTCATGTCGATATTATGAAGAAGTTAAGAATAAATAAAATTATATTTCTGTATATTCATCATTAACATAAATGTACAGAATACAAAACATACTTATTTTAATGAAATAAATATTAACAATATAATAGAATCACTAAAACTGATTCATTCAACAATCCGGTCTCATGCGAAATCGTGTGTCTGTAGATGACATTTAATACTAAACCTACCGAAGTATAATGCACTTTATACTTTAAAGTTATAAATGGAACTAAAAAATAAATAAGCAAACGATAAGACATAATACACATCAATTTTTTTATACTTACGAAAATTAGTATACATTTCAAAAAAACTACCTTAACGAATTTCATAATTTAAAATAAAACGTTTATAAAGCGTTCAGTTAACTGTTTCGATAGTTTTAGTATTAATGAATTGTCAACACTATGTCAACATTACTGAAAACATAATATTTAATTTGAATATGTAGACAAAACGAATAAGAAATTAAATTAATTTAAATTCCCTACTATTTAATAAATTCAGAACAACTTTTTTTTTTATATATAAAATCATAGAACATTAAATAATTAGAACTTTAACAAAGCTACTCCCTTATTTTGCTTGTACTATTATAAAACGAATTTAAGAATATTAAAACCTGGAGTATTAAGAATTAGAAAGTTACAAATATATCCATGCAAAGCTAAAACAGTTTACTACTATATTTTGATTAGTAGAAATGTTTAAAGTAAACAGAAATATTATTAACGAAATTCCCACTCGACTATTAATTACGTGTACTCATTTGGGCACTAGGATATTTACCTAAATACCTTGAATAAAAATGAAAAATTACAGTAACTTAAAATTTTGACGAGTTAATGGTTCAAACAGATTACACAACTGCAAACGATCAGAAAGCCACATGGAACCCCGATTTTCCGTGCGACATGTTACTCGGGCCTTCACGAGCGTCTCAACCGGAAACTAGTTTGCTCACAGTTCGTAACGCCATATGGTAGGAACGAATTCGTTCACTAAACAGATATAATGTACAACACGTAACTCTGCTCGGAAACAGTGGCGTCACGGAAGCGTGACTTTAATCGTTTAAAGTTTAGAGTTTGGGAAATTCAAACTTTTGTGAAACTTAGAAGAATGTAGATTCGGCCGCGCCTCCTCCTCGAGTATTTCACCGTGATGCTTTGCAACGAAATCATTAAAACTAAATCATAATGGTTGACTCCGAGCCTTAAATAATAAGGAAAACTAAAGTAATAGTAAAACAAAATGCTGACGATGTCAGTAAATAAATAAATGTATGCATATACACAGTAAAAGATAATTTTAATTTTTTACAATTACATTATAAGTTGACCAATCATTGTACAATTTAAAAAATAATAAACAACCGTTGAATATATTTCTTAAAAAACAGAGATCATCGGAGAAAGTGCTGTTTATAACGGAATAAATTTTTCATCGGCACTGCACATAATCGCATCATAATCATTAATATTTAATGCATTTTTTTAGTGGAAACATTACGAGAAATATAAATAAAATAAACTATTTTGTATATTATAAACTTCAAAGAATTAGAAGAATTAATATATTTAATACTACATACTAACATGTGTATATTACACAAATTTAAATGTTACACACATTATTATGCGTATATAATAAACTATCTTCATGTTCTAAATACAATTTAAAACACTTCTCCACGAAAACATTGAAATATTTATAAAAAGGAATCAATTCCGATTTCAATTATTTTTTAATACGTTGCTAAGTCCATCAGTCTTAGTAGTATTGTGAACATTTCATTTGAGTTCGCAGTTTTTTAGAAAATTATTGTCAAAAAATGTTTACCCAAAAGTACATAATTTTTTAAACACCGTTTGAATTTAATATAGTGCGCTTTAATGACATTTCTTTATTTATGCGCAATAACTCGTATAGCTTATCTTTGTGTACTATTTTTCATGAAATCTATGCTCACAATTTTTATGATTACGTCCTGTGCATTTGATTTTTATCTTACTTAAAAATATATTTGTATTAGACTAGATTTTTTTTAATAAGGCTCCTTCTTCAGTCCACCCATGTATTATACAAAGTCTTCATTAAAACCTTTTCAACACTATTATAGGGCGGTAGCCTTGACAACGTATTAAAGAATTACTGAAATTGGAAATGATTCCGCTTTTATAAATATTGATAGAATAAGATGTTCTAATTACGAACGAATAAAAAGTACGTTATAAACAAAATTTGTATTTTTTCTAATATTTTGTAAAATATATAGTTGTTGGAACAATACTTCAAAAACTGAATTTATCACAAAAAAGGGGTAATAACTTTGAACAATCAAAATTTAACACAGAAAAATAATGTACACAGGTACATGTATATTCGACGTTAAAATACGTAAGAATTTTAATAACGCTAATATGTTTGTTGTTATCAATTCATTGGGTTTCACCAAGATGTATACGTATATGTATACGATAGAAATTAAAAACAACAATGTACAACATTAAGCATAACTGCTTGTTTCTTATAATCATAAATAATAAACTACTTTTGTTCAGTGCAAATCAAATACCTTCCCAACGCGTAATTCTAACAATAATACAACCGTTCACATCGTTAAAACAGTAAATTCACGGCATAATTATTTTTCAATTAACTCGCCAAAGTAAGGATAAGCAAGAAGGAAAATAAACTGTATTCAATCTAACAATTAAATCGACACAAAAAGTAACTTAAGGAATCAAGAATGTCGTTTACAGTACATTCAACTCTAGAAAAGTTGCGCAAAGATCATGAGAACGCCACCCTTAACACGGCTTAAATTAATAACGCATCATACGTGTTTTATTTTATTTATTTAACTATACCTATAGCACGTCACACAGTGATGAAATGTTTCAAATATACGGCAAAATATCAGTCAAATAGTTTTTATCAATAAAAATAATAATCTTAACTCGAAAGCGATGATAAAGTAAGGTCTATTAAAACTTTGTAATATGTGAATATGTAAATATGTAAATTTTTAAATAAGGTAATCAATATGACACAATATACCTCACAGTACCATCTATTTTGCTGATGTTTTCAATTTATCTGTTTGTAAGGTTCTACTACATTTTCTGCGTAACCACGTGATTACCGTATTATTTAATAGTGGTATTACCACTTTTTTGATTCTACGAAAATTGATTTTTAATCAAATTTCTGATTTACAGTAAATTAATATTATATTAATAATTAGACGAAAATTATTGCTTATATTCCTCATATTATATTACTCATATTAAATCCTGCAGCTAACACAATAGTCAGTGTTATGTTGCTACGTTAGAAAAACTTACTTGCTCTTATTTTCTGTTGCTAACAAATAGATTTACTAATTAGAAATAAATTATTCATGAAACATTTTCTCCCACACTCGGTCCTACATACGCTATATAGGAAAATGTGTAAGAATTAAAGCTGATTTAAGGACAGAGTAAAAAATTATTAACTTACATGTTACAATCGATAAAACAAAATTTTGCTGTTTAATGATAGTTTTATTATAAAAATGTCACAGATGTGTTTAATAAATTTACATTAATAATTTAAAAGTAAGTCACAGTTAATTTTTAGAGCTGGACAGATCTCACGCTTAGAAACTGCCATACTTTTACCGATATTTAAAAAAAATGTAAATGACATCTGAAGCAAAGAAATATATAATTAGTTATTTTCAATTACATATGTTTAATAATTTTAGTTTAGGTATCGCATACTCTAAGAACGACTCTGATTCAAACAAAACACTATTTTTTCTATTCAAAGAAGTTATCCTTCAAAAACGCATTGCTGAAACTAAAATTGCTATTATTGATTTTCATTACAAAGTAAAACGAGTTACCTTTTGTTGTAACTTTTATCAGTATTGTGTTATTTGGTAATTAACAATTAATTTAAATGTCGTTTATTTATATTTCACATATTTATATTCCGCTTAATTTTGAATCTTATGTCGAATAAACATACTTAAAGATTTTTCTTTCTTTTCTTGTCAACGTTGTATAGCTTTTCGCGCATTCCGAGTAACACGAAGAGAGAAATTCTATACATTTAAACGAATGTTCACACGACTCTACATCAACCAGTGGCATTAGATGTCCTAACCTATCTAGAATTTCCAATATTGTATAACGCGTACACATTGTGTGAACACGATATACGCACAAAAACGAAAGAATGTGATGCATAGAAAGAAGTTTAGGGAACAAAAAACGTACGATGGTGATTTAAAATGAAAACGAGAAAATGAAGTCGACATAAGCAACATGAAACGAACAGAGCAAAGCGACAATTATCTAAACACAACGAATTTTAATAATTAACTAACTTGAGAGACTAGTGGCACTGACTCACGGTTTTGAATTATACATACAACTAACCACCGAAATTTTACTGAATTGATTACCATATGAAAAAAATGATATTGCTTCTTTTACGTTTAAATTTTATAGTCCTCAACTACTTCAGATGCAATGAAAAAAAATGTATTTGCATCTAATGAACCATACCTGGAAATACGTCCTTGGTGTCAGGATTATAAGGATGAATCCATCCGTTCCTTTGCTGAATAATACACTGGAACATGTTGCTGGCCTATACGTAGATTTCGATTCGCGTTGATCGGCTATAGCGAACGACCGAACAAGAGAAGGAGGAGGAAGAGAGATAGATAGAGAGAGAAAGAATAACGTCGAAAAAAAAGAAAGATGAGGAAATAGGATGAAAAAAGATATGAGATCCGTTATAGTTGGCAAGCTTTTTCAATGGGCCAACTTTCCTCCCTTTGTTCCTTTTAAGAATATCCCTAGAGCACTCGAATTGTTCGCGACATCAATTCAGTGAATCGATTTCTTTATCGATTATCGACTAATCTTATCGAATTGTAAAATCTATAACAAGCAAACGGCTATGCGCAATTTCTTGATAATGTTTTCAGTTTTCGGTTCTTTTCTAGAACATAATCGTTATTTTACTTCTTTCTCACTAATCAAAAAATCGATTCGGATCACAGAAGTAACCGACATCGATTCCAGCTATCATAACGCCGATGGCAGTTGTACGTGCAATATCGCATTTCGAAAATATTTCTTCAGTTATTTGTCGATTACGTTCCATCGAAGTACATCGAGATATTTGGCAATTTTTATTGCATAACGAAACTCACAAGGATCGAAGAACTTCATTTTTCTAGCAAAATTTTGCCGAACTTTTATCCCCTTATTGGTTTTACTCTACGTCAAACTCCTCTCTTCGATGCTCGGCTCTCTCCTTTCTTTTCGAACATGCGTGTGCATCCACACGCACACTTTCTTCTGTTTTTATCCCTGTATCGCTCGCTCGTTTTATCTCTCACCAACGAGGTTACTCTTCTTTCTTCCGTTTTTTATTCTCTTCCTTTCAACCGAGGCTTCCCCCGCGGTAGCCCATTCTAATGACCACTCTCATCATAGCAATAAAATGAAACACTGTCCTAAGCGATTGCACATTCGACACACAAACACGTTGCACGCAACGCACTCTCGATCGACCACTACGGCCGTGAAAGCAGCAGTTCTCTTCTCGAACTAACTGAAATCCATTACCATCCGAACGGTACAGCGAACCGACGTACTCTGTTAACACGAAAAACGGAGGGGGTTGAGCAAGAGACTATCCAGCGCAGCCTGGGGAAATAAAGGCGCGGCGGTGTAGAAAAGTTAAGAATGACAAGAAAAAGGAAACGAAGGCAGAAGGTAGTCGCCTTCTCTCGTTGCTCCTGCGTCCAGAGGGTGGCTGGTCGGCTGGCTGGGATCGAACTAGATGGCTCGTCGCCAGGCAACCGGATTTTCTTTCTCTCTCTATCAAGCCTCCCTCCCTTTACGCTCGTTCTCTCTTTGTCCAGCTCTCCCTTTCTCTCCCTGTTTCTCCGTCTCGGTTTCGTACCGGTGCTGGTGCTCTTCTCGTATCCGCCACTAACCTCCGCGCCCCACCTTCTCGCCCAGCTCTCTGTTGCTCTCTCTTCTTCCCATCAGAGCCGCAATACACCGGTTCCTCTTTTGCCAACTTGCCACCCCCTGCATCCTCCGGAACGCAGAGGATTCTCTTGTACCTTGGCCGATGACTTTAGGCCGACTGCACACCGATGCGCTGCGCCACCAAAATATATTGGATGAAACTTTTTAAAAAGTCACACTACACAATCGTTATGAAAAAAAAAAAACAAAGAAAAATTCTGTCAGTGGATTCCTTTATTCCGACCTTACTATCATTATTAAAGTGCCTTCAATTGTTTTTCACTTAACTGTTATTGTACATAAATTATGCATTTCTAATCATTTGCATAGTAGATTATCACATATATGTACACGATCGGTCGTGTCAAAAGGACTAACGTGGCGTGGCAATTCGATACGAGGTTAATCCGATGAAGTACCTTCAGCCCCGTATCTTGCACTGGGGACGTACTTTATGAAGAATTTGCAGAAGATGAAGAAATGTAAATGAAAATCTTTAATTGTGATATTCGATATCTGAACTACAGATAAATGTCTCAGGGATCAACTGCAAACACTTCATTTAGAATCGAGGATACCTGAAATACGGAAGATACGCTTGTTGGAAGCGAAATAGGCGTTTATTCTATTTCTTGACGCGTGTTGTTTTCTCCATTGCAAAACACTGGCACATCTTCAAAACAATTCTCACAACAGATACGACAATTCTAAGATATCAGCGAATCCCAGTCGTTATAGACGTAGGAAAAAAGAGAAAAGTCGAAGTTGTTAAGCCAAATAGCAGAGAACTTTCTACGTTGAAAGCGTTTCACTTGCAATCGGAAAAAGGGGACGGGTCTGTAGAAAACTGATTACCAAAGAAACTCCACCTCCCGATGCACCATTTCGAAATCAACTGAATCGCGTAATACCGTTGTGGAAGCATCGAGCGGAAAGTATATCGCGCATCCAAGTGAAAGAGAGAGACGATCATTTGCCGAGAGGGAAAGAGTTAATGAGAGGCCAAGTGAGAAAGAGACGTCACCAGAAAGAGATGAAACAATCGTAATAAAGCAAGTGGAACGGTGCAAAAGAGATGGCCGCATATGCTGGTAGGGGAATCAATGAGTTACTCGCGCTACGGCTTTTGTTTCTCTCCTCGGCCCCTCCGCTCGAATATACTCTGTACCGCCGGGGCTCCCATCGTGATGTCCTATATAGACTCATCCAACCCTCGAAGCGTGACCGTGACTGTGACTCTGATCAAACCGAGTGCACGTGTCCACCGTGTGTACGGTACTCCCTGTGCGATTCTGTTCTTCTTCGTCCTGCCACTCTATGACTCGTCTCTCCACGTGGAATCGCGTCATTCTTCCTTTCGTGGCCATTATTTAGTGCAACAACACACGAGCTAATAAACATCATAACTTTTGGCAAGCCCTTCGACGATCTCTTCAAAACTAATAAAATGCTGGATTTAACAAGTTCAGATCGTATTTACCTCCCATCTGATAAAATATGGATCTATTTTAACACCTTTTTTATTTTTTTAATTACCTTTACATTTGTAAACATCTTTATGGAGTTCTGACCACATTTTAGAGCGAGTATACATCGATTATAGGTTAACGAAATTCATAACAAAAAATATTTTCATAATGTCGGCAAAGTTGGACTTGCTATAATTTTTACTCAATACTAAAGATTAGATTTTTTAGTAAATTGGAAATGATCGACCTTCTTAATTGTCTTACAGTATTTATCGTTCCGAATCCAAAATAATCAGTTTTAATTTTTGACGTATATTGGATCAATACTGGAAAAATGTTTTACAAGAACAAGTTTAATTTATTTATACAAATATTTATGCTTAAACTACATCACTGTACATTGCACTATATATTTATAAAAAAAAAGGTGAGATAGCCCACAACAGCTGCACAAGAAAAAGAAACAAATATAAAGCAGTAAAACATGAAAATACAATGAAAAAAGAATAAAATGTATTTGTGTTTGGAAAACTACTAAACATTTCGAATGCACTGGAACAAAAAATAAAATATGGTATTCAAAATGAGTAGAAGCCAATAGGACGCCACCTAATCCATCAAATATGTTAAAAATGCTGAATTTTATGTATGATTTATTTTTAACCTGGCGGACTTTCAAACTTAAAACTTGTATTTTTTAATTCTATTCGTCAAATATTATCAGAATATGTAAAAAGCCGATAACAACATTTAGATTCCTTCAATAAAGTTTACCTCAAATAATCGATACATATGTGTATGTATAATACCATACTCCTACAATATGATTCGAAAATGGAAAAGATTTCGTCTAATTTTAAAATTAAATAATGTATCCTAAAAAGCATTCAGAATAGTAGTAATCTATCTAAAGCAAAAAATTTTACAAATATTTAATTCCATACTATAAAAAATGATGCCTTTTAGGCCATGTAACAAACACTAATGCGTTATACATTATTCATTGTGTAATGCTCAAATACAATTGCGAGATATAAAGATTAGGATCAAAGACTGTGAAGGCTAGGTCCTACGAGTAAGAAATATGGGAAGTTAAAAATCGAAAATCGTCCATAATCATTTATCATTTAGTGTACCCTAACATGTCAAACACAATAAAAATATTTTGTACGTGTTCAGAGGATGGCTTAGTGAATGTACTTCCAAATATCTTGCATATTTTAGGTACCGTATTGTTATTACAATATGGGCGTAGCATTCCATTGTGGAAACTGCATTTCTACAGGTAGGAATAGTAATGCACTTTTATTTACTTCTTTCAGACATACTATTTTGTTGTCTATTGTTTCTGTTTTACTGAGTTTACGAAATATAATCTAAATTGTTTAAGATGATCCATACTCTAATACATTTGACCTCCCATATCAGATATCTTACTGTACATTAAGCATAGATATGTATTTTAAAGCTGTTCGCAAATGGTTCAAAATCTATATTCTATAAATTAGGACACGATTCTTTGTCAAGAAAATGTAGGCGGCAGAAAATAATAGATTTTTTTTGAGAAAGCAGGACATATAATTTAAGATACTTGGAAAAAAATCAGACGATGAGAATATTTTGCTAGAACAGAAAGCGCTTTCATTTAAACCTTTAAATGTCACGGTTCATCACTAAAGGTGCACTCCACAGTGGCACGAATTTTTCATTACTGGTATATGTATACGGACAAAATGAGAGGAACCCTTCTCAAGCGCCCTCTCGTAAGAGAAAATAAATACAATACAATGGTATATGTATATGTTACATTATCTAGTCATTGTCGACATTAATTGACTAATGTTATTACAATGGGAAAATACTTTAGTTGAACTAATTAATGCTTACTTTAACAGACGAAATGCAGCTAATGTTCAAAAAATCGTTTAGTTATTATTTTTTTCCACTGCGATGCAATGTGAAACAAATTGTTGCTAGCTTTTAAACCAAAGTAACGGTAAATGAACTTTTCACAAATTTTTTTTAGAAATCTTAATGCATCAAGTAACAAGGAAAAGCGTCATTGCAAAAAACAAATCTACTTATAAGAGGACACAGATATATTGTAAGATAAACAAATAAATTTATTCATCTTACAAATAGATTTACTTTTTTTTTAACAATGGCAGATTTTAATAATTTTTGTATGACTGACAGTTACCATTGTCTTTGGTAATTTTTTAAAAATATTTATACTCTCATCGATGCAGTGTCAATTACAACAAAGCCTATTTGTTACAGAATTTTATTGTAAACACAAACAAACCTATTTGACAAGAAAATGAGTTTATACAAAATAAATCTATACTTCTTTTGCAATAAATTTGTTTGTTACATATGTATATTTAACTAACAAAGAAATAGACTAGTGTTGGATTTGCTATCTACTTGTCGGTTTTTGAAACACAAATGCTTCTTATAATGTATTTAAATATGGCATATTCTATTACTATGTGTCCACTACAACACTGCTTTTTTCAAGTATATTTTTGTATCATATTTATTTCAAGTAAACTATATTTCAATATGGTATATTTTACTATCATGTATTTACTAATCAAAACAACTGATATTTATCTAAGTTCATGCAACGGAGTATAAGTGATAATGACGATATATCGAAAGGTAATGTAAATAATTGAGTGCATCATACTTTTAACATTAGAACTACTAATCAGTAAAAATGACTGATTTCAAATTTTGCATTTTATATTACAAAATTTTATTGCTGTGTTTTTGTTGAAATATTTGTCATATTTTGTTGAGGTAAAGAATGGTTGCGTGTGTATGTTAGTTGATGTTTCAGTATTTACTTATTTAATTTTCAATTTTATTTTTAATTTAAATAAAAATGTTTTAACACTAGTAGTTTTAATGTTATAAAAACGATCGTATAGTGGATATGTATGTAATAGTAGAATATGTCATATTAAAATTTGTTATTCTATTTGTGTCATGATAACCTATAAGTACCAAGGATTTATTTATTTGTACTTCCTCCAGAAAATTAGCAAAAGCTTGTTTCATATCATATTGTGATGACAAAAATTAACAAGTACAACGCGTTGTAGTAACTTTTTACAACAGCCACCTGATATTTCCATTGGTTTATTTCGCTCATTAAGCATCTTCAAACTACGAATTTATACGTACATATACGAAATATTAGGTTGGGGAATAAGTTCGTGGCGTTTTGACATTTTCTTTTTTTTACAGCGACATTTTACAATTTGCAAGGGGTTATAATATTCATTCGATAGAGCTCTTTCTGCTGTACAAAACTATGTTAATCGTTTTTTTCAGTAGTTTCATTCGTTATTACTATTGAGGCTTAGAAATGGAATATCCAGGAGGTAAAAATTAGCACTTTCGACACCTGCTCTTCTTCGCTTTCTATCGCGGCCAAAAAGCTGCTGAAGCAGCCCGGGATATTTGCAATTTATACGGAGAAGGTGTCATAGGTGAGTCAACAGCACAGAAATGGTTTGCAAAATTCAAAAATGGCGACTTTAACGTCGAAAACCCGCCCCGCAGCGGAAGACCTTCTGAGTTCGACGATGAGCGTCTCCGAGAACTTGTGAAGTAGGTTGGTCTTCAAACTAGTCGTGAATTGGTCGAAAAAATGAACTATGATCACAAAACTATTCTCAATCATTTCCATTCAATGGGATTTGTCGAAAAATTGGGAGCCTGGGTGCCTCACGAAGTGAACGCTACGAACTTATTGCCCAACCTTAGGTTGAATTTTGCAAACCATTTCCGTGCTGTCGACTCACCTATGACACCTTCTCCGTATACATTGCAAATATCCCGGGCTGCTTCAGCAGCTTTTTTTCACAACTTTTCACAACTTTCTGGCCGCGATGAAAAGCGAAGAAGAGCAGGTGTCGAAAATGCTGCTTTTTACATTCTTGATATTCCATTTCTGAGCCTCAATAGTAATGACGAATGAATCTACTGAAAAAAACGATTAACACAGTTTTGTAGAGCAAAAAGAGCTCTATCCAATGAATATTATAACCCCTTGCAAATTGCAAAATGTCGCTGTAAAAAAAAGAAAATGCCAAAACGTCACGAACTTATTCCCCAACCTAATACATTGTGTAAAAAGAGGTTATATACGTACTCAATAGGTAGTTTTTGCGTACTTGATCTACATTTCTAATTTTAATGACGTGTAATTAATGTTTACAATAACTAGGTAGTATGCATATCCCCCAGTTAAAGTTGGGGCCACACTTCCATTTTTCCACTCAAACTGAAACACCCAGTTAATACTCTACTCTTACTTACCCTTACCCATCATTACCAACTGAATCCTCGTATTAATGGAATTTTCCACGTTAACATTAAGATATACATGTATCATAAA